AGACCAGCACTTTCCAATAGAATGTCTGTGGTGGTGGAGATGCTCTCCCACTGTTCCATATAGCAGGTTCTAGCCCAGTGGGAGGCTGAGGGGGCACTGGGAGAACGTCAACAGAGCTCTTGAACACATGAAATGTGGAACTGAATTTGCAATTTTGTACAACTCTAATGAACCTAAGTGTAACTAGATACACCTGACTAGTGGCTATCATACTGGACACTGGAGGTCTAGAGCAGAGGAGCTGTCCACGTCGAAGTGATGGAGCTGGTGACCTAGCGTCCGTCCTCAAGCCTGTGACACAGTTGTGAACTAGAAGAGTCAGAGGGTCAGACTGTCCACAGTCCATAGTACCTAAGCCCTCCCACCCCCCGAGCTCAGGGAACATGCTTTGGCCTCCTACACAGCTCTGCACCTCCTACTATTATGGTCTGCATTCTAGAGATTCCTGCAACCTGACTGATCCCAACTCAGAACCTGGAGGCCCCGGAGGTGTTCTTTCTTCATCTCCTGCTCAACGTGACCCAAAAGGAACATGGGGTAACAGAATATGCCATGTTCTCCTCTCAACTCTCCACCACCGCCTGTCACTTCCCATTAAAAACAAAAAAAGAAAGAAAGAATGAAAATGAATGGTGGCTGCCTCTCACCTGTGGTGGCATTGAGAGTTTCCTGGGGGCTAACGGATCCATTCGTCTCCACCCACACAGAAAATTCATACAAGGACCCAGGTTTCAGTCCATCCACTGTGACATTCGTGTCTGCTGTGCTTGTGTTCTCAGGTGTGTCGCCATCACCAGTCCACTGGATCCAGTAGGTGTAGTCCTGAAGGTCAGGGTCATCGGGCCCCACCCACCTCAGGGTGATGGACCTGGTGGTCTGAGCCTCCACACTAAGGTCCCTGACGGGGTTGGGGGCTGAGAAATTAGGAAGAAGGATCCAGGTCAGCAGGGGAGCAGATAGAGGAAACAGCCAGTGGGCATTTCAGCCCTCAAAATAAGTTCCTAGTCCTGCCTCAACTACTGGCCCAGGACATGTGGGATGTATGGTCTATACTAGGGCTTCTCAAACTTTAAAGTGCATACATAACACTGGGGATCTGGTTAAAATGTAGGTTTTGACTCAGTAGGTCTGAGATGAGACTGAGTTTCCACATTTACAATCAACTCTCGAGGGATGCTGGTGCTGCCCACCCATGGACCATACTTTGAGCAGCAAGGATCTAGACCAGCACTTTCCAATAGAATGCCTGTGATGGTGGAGATGCTCTCCCACTGTTCCATATAGCAGGTACTAGCCCGGTGGGAGGCTGAGGGGGCACTGGGAGAACGTCAACAGAACTCTCGAGCACATGAAACGTGGAAGTGAATCTGCAATTTTATGCAGTTCTAAAGAACTTAAATTTAAATAGCCCCACGTGACTTGTGGCTACCATATTGGATAACAGAGGTCTAAAGCAGAATGTTGTCCACGTGAAGGTGACAGAGCTGATGAGCTGAGCTTCCATCCTCGAGACGGTGACACATTTGTGAACTAGGAAAAGAGTCAAAGGGTTAAAGTGTCCATATTCCATAGTACCTATGCCTCCCGGAGCTCAGGGAACGTGCCTTTGCCCCCTACACAACCCTGGTTGCTAAGGAGAGACATCCCCTAAAATGATGGTCTAGAAAACTCTCCCAACCTCTAACGGCGAGCCAGGAGGGCCCATGGACAATCCCTGGGAAGTGGCCAGGCTCTCCTGCAGACTCACTGAAGGTCTGGCCCAACGAGACCTAGGGACATGTCAGCCCCCACTGTGGGCAGAGGGGGGCCAGACATGCTGACACCTTCTCCAGTAGGTTCTCAGTCATCTCCTACCACCTTCCTCCATGCAAAACAAAAGGGAACAAAGCAGGGAATGGACATGGGTGCTTCTCTCCTGTGGAACCCTCGACAGTCTTCCTGGGGCCTCTGTCCCCTGTCCATACAGAAAATTCATATGAGGACGCCGAAGTGAGTCCATCCACTGCATAACTGGTCATTGTGTGTTTCAGGTCTCATTTTTGTCCCTATCTGTAGGCCACTGGACCAGTAGGTATAGTTTTGAGGGCTTGGGTTCTTAGGGACCGCCCAGTGCAAGATGATGGAGCGGTTGGTCCAAGTCTCCATGGTCAGGTCTCTGACTGGGTTGGGGGCTGAGAATTGGGAAGGAGGGTGGGGTGAGAGCAGGGGAGCAGACCACTACTGTCCCATCCACCGCCCTTAGTCTTTGCCCCGAGTCCAGGAAGGACTGCTCCCATCAGCGCCTGCCACAGATCACAGCGCCCTCCGTGGAGACCCCCCTCAGAAGGTCGCGGGAGTTGAGTGCAACTTCTTCGTGTGGGCAGTGGACTCAGCAGGGGTCACTCACCAGCAGCCCTGGCTCCTGTCCAGCTGCACAGGCCCTGGGGAGAGCCCAGAGAGAGACAATGAGACTTGGAGCCTCACCTTCCGTGGCCAGGGTGAGATTGCAAGGCTGGGCTGGCCAGCCAGCGACCTTCTGTCCTTGCCCCCCATCTCTGGGGTCACTGCTGCCTAAGAGAGAGGAGGGACACCACGCAGTGTCTCCTCCTCCAGCCTGGGCTCTGACAAAGGTCACTCTAACGTCAGTCTTTTCTGGGTGTGTGTGTGTTGATGGGGAGGGCAGAGGAGCATGGCAGGGGCGGGGCTCCAGGGACCCAGGAGCCAGGGTTGGCTTCACCGATAAGGCCGGGAGATAAACTCAATGGTTTCACTTCCCAAGAAATATGGCCTTGGAGGACTAGAGGCAGGGACGTAATCAACAAACTGGGAACAGGGGAAGAGACTGAGGCTGGGGACCAGGAGCCAGACACCAGGTCTGAGAGAGGAGGCTGGGCATCTGTTCTCCTGGGTCTGAGGGAGGAGGGGCCGGGGGCCCGGTCTCCTGGGTCTGAGGGAGGAGGGGCTGGGGGTCTGGACTCCTGGGTCTGAGGGAGGAG